AGACGAGCTGAAATACAGGCAGATTAGCTGGAAGGCTATGGGTCTTTATAGACCCAATAAGACCTATAAAATTATTAATAGGGAAACGAAAACAACTAAGAAGCGTTTACAGGCCAAGTAAAGCAGAGAATCTTTAGTAGACGATCTGAAGCGGGGAGTCTTTTAAGACCAGCAAAAAGTCTTTTTAAACGACATGAACGCATAATTTTATTTTATTTCTTATACGGCAAAAATATTCCTCATCGAAATATTGGTTTTAGACGCCCATGTTTCTTTGGACCAAATCCATTGTGTAGGGTATCGACCATATGATACCCTACACAAGTTCCACGAAAAACTAACTTTCTGTGGATCTATATTCTGAGCTTGGGCAATATTTCGCGATATTTGAACCATCTGGACCAACTAGAGACCGACAATTATTACTAATGTTCAGTACAGCCCTTCTAATTTCTGTCCAGATTCCCTTCCCTTCCCTTGTGTTGTGATCTTCTTATTCCCATTGGAGACTATAGATCGACTCGAAAAAACACAAAAAATTAAGTTTTCGGTCGACTTCATCACAATATAATTATCTGATAGTCACCGAAAATTATAGACGTTATCCTTAACCATAACTGAAACTTCATGGAACATTTTAAAAAGATCAGCGCTATATTTCCGCCTTCTAGTGTGGTAAAGGGTTACTAAATAACGTCTGAACCTGTAAATATTTAAGTGTAACTCCCACATCTGTGTACATACAGCCATATAATTGGTATCAATTTAAAGGTCAACCACTGCCCTTGGATATACCAACAACTTTTCGGATCTACGTCCTTCAGGGGTAAATCTATACACTATTGAATACAAATTTTGTAATTTTTCACACAAATGTCAGGGTCCATTTGACCCGCTAAATATTGAGCGATCCTTATCAAAAGAGGCATGCTTATTCTTTGGTCCGATCCCCTTCGCGATGTTAGGGTCATAATTGCGGCCTCTAGAGCGACCAGAAAACCCGACAAAAATTTAAACATTAAGCGATCTTTACCAAACAATAGGGGTCTTCATTGGGCAGAAACCATCCTACATGCAAAATTTCGTGAAGATTGGTCCATAACTGTGGCCTGTATCGTGTTTACAAATTATAATGGACAGACGGACGGACGGACACACATGTCTAGATCGACTCAGCTAGTCGAGATATGAGGATCGGTATACTTAAAGGTGAGTCTAGGACCAATATTTCGCGGCGTTACAAACTCTTGGGGCTGCACAAAGCTATAGAGTAACTTCGGGTAATGTGGACCACCATTTTCTTTTTTTGATATTGTGGGCGTAACAACGGTAAAAAATAAAAACAAATTGTTTTCACAGCATGGTAGATTTGTTGGCTAATTATATTCCAGGTCAAAAATTATATATATTTGTCCATAAAAATGTTATTGCATTATATTTGAAAAAACTCTAAACTGCAAATAAAAATAACTTGGCGGGTAATGTGGACCAGTATGTGTGGGTAATGAGGATCAGTAAGTTTAAGGTAGGTTGTGGATTAATTGTGATAAATTTCAATTTATTGCACTCTTGGGTAACAATGAATGCAAAAATATATGGGTCCATGTTTTGGAATAGCCCCCATTTAAGGGTACCACCACATTTGCGGTATTTTGAAGGCCCTTGCTTCATTATCCAACCGAGGCACCTATAATTTCGGATATCGAGTTTTTTTTTTTATAGTGGTCCACATTACCCGACATTGAATATTTTTATTTAAAAATAATTATCGGCTTCAAAAATGAATAAAAATTTAAAAATAACCGAAAGTAATTACAGATAAACGTGTATTTTTGTTAAAGAAAACAAGAAAACCATATAACCTCTGTATATTCGAGAAAAACAAAATGTTCGACTATTTTACAAAATCGTTCGACTATTGTGCTAAAAAATTTTCAAATCACACTTTTACAATCATAGCTATATTTTCACCTACTAAATTTTCAACATTGCAATTATTTATTAAAAACCAAGTTTGATGTTTGTTTTCACTAATTAGGAAAACATTTATCAAGGCGGCATTGGCATATTTCAAGCATTTTCTTAGATATGGGGGGTGGTCCACATTTGATGCATGGTCCACATTACCAGAAGTTACTCTAATACCCTGACAACATAGTTGTGTAGGGTATACAAATTTTGAGCTGATTTACAAATGTCCGTCTGACTGACAGGCCGGCTGGGGCGCACGATAACACTCGAAGGGAGTAATCGATTTCAGCCAAACTTTGAACATAGTCAAAATTTTTTTAGGGGGAACAAATCTGCATCATTAACTGGAAAAATCATGATTTTCGATTTTTGCCGGCCTTGCAGCAAATTAGCGATATGTAAAAGTAGTACAACTATTATGTTTGTTTGTCAAACAAAAATTTCCAAATAATGATTCAGCATTTTTGTGCTAAATTTATGCACATCCCAGAATACAACACCGAAAAAGACCTACCAGCAAACATGCAACCTCACATGTAGCATATCTAGCACGTGTTTGCCCCCAAAACAATGATACTCAAAAATGACTGACTGATCTACTCGACAGCTATTTGTTGCTTTAAAACGATAAGTTGTTGTTGTTGTTGAATTGTATGTTCGTATTATTCGCCTTTGAAGGTTTTGTTCGTCAATTATCTTTCTGCTGGTCGTGGCAAAATTATTAGATAATCGGCAACATATTCAATGCCCTCTAGTAATGCGGATGTTTTATCGTTAATCAACCAGTTTACGAAAGGGTGTCGAATGTAACGGACATGCGAACGCGAAACGGAAATATATTCGCAGTGATTTAAATGGTGTTCGAATTTTTGGAAAAAAGAAGAAGACAATAATAAAATTAATATTTTGGATTTTTAAAATCGCAATTATTTTACAAAAAAGAAAACTAAGTGAAAATGGTAATTTTATAAAATATATTCCTAAAAAATAAAATAAATATTAGTGTAAATATATAAAAATATAAAAAAAAATCACAATAAACAAATGTGTGCAATTTTAATCGTATATAATAAAATATAAGAAGTGAAGTTTTGAAAAATAAATGTAAACTCAAGTTGAGCAAATATACTTTGAAAAACAAAAACTTGTTTAACGAACGATCTATATTGAGGGATGTATAAGTCCCTACAACAACTACAAAATGTATCCCCATTTCTTTGCGTACCTAAAATATTTCCAAATATTTCTACAGCAACCAAAAAAGCGTGGATTTTCAATATATATTTCTGAACAATCATTTTGGCGTAGGTTTTTTTTTAAAAAATAAATGTTTTTTCAACAGTCATTTAAACATAGATTTTTTAAAATTTTTTCCAGGCACCCGAAGATTTTTCACAAAAATGTTCTCTTCAACCATCATCTAGGCATAGATTTTTTTAATATTTTCAATTTTTTTATGCATAGAATCACTTTCTAAGTCGATTTATGCATGTCCGTCTGTCCGTCCGTCTGTAGATGTTAAATTGTAAACAAAGTAAAAGTCGCATTTATGATCCAATTAAGATGAAATTTGGCACAGCTCACTTCTTTGGCCCAAGGACGAACGCTATTTAAATTCAAGAAAATCGGTTCAGATTTAGATGTAGCTCCCATATATATTTTCGTCCGATTTAGGGTAAATGGGGGACCAAAGTCCCTATATATCTTTCGATTTGCACGAAATTTTGCATAAAGTATTGAATTAGGTCAAGAATGATGTGTGCCTAGTTTCGAGAAAATAGGTTCAGATTTAGCTATAGCTCCCATATATAGTTTCGGCCGATTTAAAGTAAATGGTGCACCAAAGTCCCTATGTATCTTTCGATTTGCACGAAATTTGGCACAGCGTAATGAATTGGGTCTAGAATGATGTGTGCCAAGTTTCCTAAAACTCTGTTCAGATTTAGATTTAGCTCCCATATATATTTTCGTCCGAATTAAGGTAAATGGGGCACCAAAGTCCCTATATACCTTTCGATTTGCACGAAATTTGGCACATATCACTTATTTGGCCCAAGAACGAACCCCATTGAAATTCAAGAAAATCGGTTCAGATTTAGATATAGCTCACATATATATTTTCGACCGATTTAAGGTAAATTGTGCACTAAAGTCCCTATGTATATTTTGATTTGCACGAAATTTGGCACAGCGTAATGATAGGTCTAAAATGATTTATGTTAAGTTTCATGAAAATCGGTTCAGATTTAGATATAGCTCCCATATATATTTTCGTCCGATTTATGGTAAATGGTGCGCCAAAGACCCTATATATCTTTCGATTTGCTCGAAATTGGGCATAGCGTACTAAATTAAGTCTAGAATGATGTGTGCCTAGTTTCGTAAAAATCGGTTCAGATTTAAATATTTTCTTCCGATTTTATGTAAATTGTGCACTAAAGACCTAAAGTTTGTCCAATTACCGTACAATGTTGTGCAATGAAATGTAATTAATATAAGCTAATCTCTGGCAAATCTTTGTTTTAGATATGGCTTCTACATATATATTTTCGTCCGATTTTAAGTAAATGGTGCACCAAACATCTCATGTTTATCAGATATTTATCCAAATAATCGACGGATGTCCGATTGTTATTGGCTTCAAATTCATTTTCATAGTATTGTCCCGTTGTAAGAAACTACTCTATATCTGAACAAATGAAAAATTTAGTATAGGTTGCAGAATGACCTGTTTATGGATCCAATTTTTAATGGTCCTTTGCTAATGGTCCTTCAAAAATGCGACTTCCCTTAGGATTCATCTGTCGAATATACCCTAAATGGTGAAGGGTATTATATAGTCGGCCCCGTCCGACTTTACTTCTTTCCTTACTGGTTTAAAGATGTTTTCGGTCCAGTATTTATAGAATAAAGTCTTCCGTTTATATTTGAATTGTTTGAGGACCTGTAGGGATTGTTTAAGTGATACATAATGTATCTATAGAAGTAAAGTAAAATATATTTATAAACATTTTATTTGTTCCATTTAGCTTGGAAAACATTTCACATTGGCGGCGCTAAGCGTCACCCTACTCTTGATGCTGAGCTATTACCCCACCGGCAGTGAGGGATCTCGGATATTGGCAGTTTTTTCATTTCCCGGAAAAAGTCATTATGGAATGCATTCTGCACTGATTACGGAACTAATCGATCGGGGACATCATGTCACAATGGTGGCGGCATTTTCATTGAAACATCTAAAATTGGGACAGAATTATACGGAAATTCTCATAGAGCCGGTCTATGATTTTTGGAGTGATAGTAAGTGTATACAATATTTTTTCAATTTATTTGCAAATTAATATAATCCCTGTTTTTATTTCAGTCAAGGCCCATTTTAAGGCGAAAACAATTTTCGACTTGAGTACAATTGGTGTTTTGGAGAATCACTTTTTGTTAGAAGTCCTTGGGTTTGGCACCACTGAACATGCCCTGCAACAACCCGCAGTCCAAGATTTGATAAATGAACCAAATCCTCGGGGAAAATATGATTTGTTGTTGTGTGAACAATTCTATCAGGAACCATTTTTGGCATTGGCTAAAATCTATGATGTACCTGTGGTTACTAGTGGTACATTGGGTTTTGAAAATCATATGAGTCAAATGATGGGTTTGCTATCGCCATGGTCATTTGTACCGCATGGTTTTACGGATTACAATGATCATATGACGTTTAAGGAGCGGCTATTGAATTCATACTACTCATTGGCCGAAGATTTCCTACGGGAATATCATTATTTTCCCGAAATGGATAAAATGGTGAAGAAATATTTTGGCCATTTGAATGGTAAGTTTGGAGGAAAGGTTTTTTTAAGACATTAAGTAGACGAAGGAAATTTTAATAGATTTTAAGATAAATATTATTTCAAGGTCCAATAAATACTGAAATACTGAAAATCGGTCCAGATTTAGATAAAGCTCCCATATATATTTTCGTACGATTTAAGGTAAATGGAGCACCAAAGTCCCTATGTATCTTTCGATTTGCCCGAAATTTGGCACATGTCACTTATTTGACCCAAGGACGAACGCTATTGAAATTCAAGAAAATCGGTTTAGATTCAGATATAGTTCCCATATATATTTTCGTCCGATTTAAGGGGCACCAAAGTTCCAATATTTTTCGATTTGCACGAAATTTGGCATAGAGTACTGAATTAGGTCCAGAATGATGTGTGCCTAGTTTCGAGAAAATCGGTTCAGATTTAGATATAGCTCCCATATATATTTTCGTCCGATTTAAGGTAAATGGCGTACCAAAGTCCCTATATATCTTTCGATTTGCACGAGATTTGGCACAGCGTAATGAATTAGGTCTAGAATGATGTATGTTAAGTTTCCTGAAAATCGGTCCAGATTTAGATATAGCTCCCATATATATTTTCGTCCGATTTACGGTAAATGGAGCACCAAAGTCCCTATGTATCTTTCGATTTGCACGAAATTTGGCACATGTCACTTATTTGGCCCAAGGACGAACCCTATTGCAATTCAAGAAAATCGGTTCAGATTTAGATATAGCTCCCATATATATTTTCGTACGATTTAAGGTAAATGGGGCCCCAAAGTCCCTATATATCTTTCGATTTGAACGAAATTTGGCATAGAGTACTGAATTAGGTCCAGAATGATGTGTGCCTAGTTTCGAGAAAATCGGTGCAGATTTAGATATAGCTCCCATATATATTTTCGTCCGATTTAAGGTAAATGGGGCACCAAAGTCACTATATATCTTTCGATGTGCACGAAATTGGACACAGCGTAATGAATTAGGTCTAGAATTATGTGTGCCAAGTTTCCTAAAAATCGCTTCAGATTTAGATATAGCTCCCATATATACTTTCTTCCGATTTATAGAAATGGTGTACCAAAGTCCCTATATATCTTTCGATTTGCATAAAATTCGTCATAACCTATGACGATTTTTTTTTTTTTTTTTTTTGCTAAATATTTTCAAGGACCTACTTAAGGCGTGAATTTTACAAATAAATATTTTCCAGGACCTGAATAAGACGTAGAACTTTTTACAAATATTTTCCAGGTCCTGCACAAGGCATGGATTTTTAATAAGTATTTTTCAAGGACCTCCACATGGCTAGGTTTTTTAATAAACATTTTAAAGGTCCCTTAAGGCGTGGATTTTTTAATAAATATTTTTTTAAGGTCCCTTAAGGCGTGGTTTTTTTAATAATTTTTTTTTTCAAATTCTTTTAAGATTTGGATATTTTAATAAATATTTTTTCAAGGTCCCTTAAGGCGTGGATTTTTTAATAAATATTTTTTTAAGGTCCCTTTAATTTTCAAGGTCCTTTAAGGCATGAAATTTTTAATAAACATTCGTTTTTTTCTATTTTATCTTCAGTTACAATTCCCTCAGTCTCAGAAATGGAGAAGAATATTTCGGTGATGTTATTGAACAGCCACATTCCATTGACCACGGCAAGACCTTTGGTCCCAGGTATCATTTTTGTGGGTGGTATGCACATTTACCCACCCAAGAAGCTACCACAGGATATTCAACAATTTATGGATGGAGCCAAAGACGGTGTGATTTTCTTTAGCTTGGGTAAGGTCCTACCAGAATTCTATTTTAAACATAAATAATATCATTTTTATATTTTTCTTGAACATTACAGGAAGCAACGTCCAATCCAAAGACATGCCCGAAGATAAGCTGCACATTTTCCTGGATGTCTTTGCCGCAATGAAACAGCGTGTCATTTGGAAATTTGAAAATGAAAGTATTCCCAATCTGCCCGAGAATATCATGATCAAAAAATGGCTGCCACAATCGGATATTTTGGCCCATCCCAATACGAAAGTTTTCATAACCCACGGCGGTCTGTTCGGTACCCAAGAAGGTGTTCACCACGGTGTACCCATGCTGGGTATACCCTTCTATTGTGATCAACAATTGAATTTACGGAAATCCGAAAGACACGGTTATGCCATTAGTTTAGATTTCCTTACAATTACACACGATCTGCTTCGCGATTCATTAAATAAGCTGATCTATGACCGCCAGTATCGTGATAATGTTCAACGTTATTCACGCATCTTTCGTGATCGCCCTATGGGCTCCAGGGAAACTGCTGCCTATTGGATTGAATATGTGATACGTCACAAGGGGGCACCTCAGCTACGTTCTGCCGGTTTGGATTTGAAATGGTATCAATTTTATTTATTAGATGTTATTGCATTTGTTGTTGTTCTGCTATTGGCTGCTATTTTAGTTGTACGTTACGTGTTAAAGAAGCTACTTTTTGGTATTAGTTCGAATAGGAAAATTAAAATGAATTAAATGTGTAGATTATTTTTATATTATATGTTATATTTTATTGTACAGAATTAAGTAATAAATATTTATGGAATTTAAAAAAAAGTAATTTTTTTTTCAAAACACTGTGGATTTTAATATTTCAAGAACCGTCATGAGGCCTGAATTTTTCATAAATATTTTTTTATGTTCAATTAAGGCTGAAATTTGGCACAGCTCACTTCTTTGGCCAAAGGACGAACGCTATTGAAATTGAAGAAAATCGGTTCAGATTTAGATATAGCTTCCATATATATTTTCGTCCGATTTAAGGTAAATTGTGCCCCAAATCCTTATAAATCCTCCGATTTGCACGAAATTTGGCATGGCATGCTGAATTAAGCCTAGAATGATGTGTGCAAAGACTCGTGGAAATCGGTTCAGATTTAGTTCGAGTTCCCATATATATTTTCGTCCGATTTAAGGTAAATGGTGCGCCAAAGTCCCTATATATCTTTCGATTTGCTCGAAATTTGGCACAATGTACTAAATTAAGCCTGGAATGATGTGTTTCAAGTTTCGTGAAAATCGGTTTAGATTTAGATATAGCTCACATATATATTTTCGTCCGATTTATGGTGAATGGTGCACCAAAGTCCCTATATAAGCTCCGAATTGCACGAAATTTGGCATGGCGTGCTGAATTAAGTCTAGAACGATGAGTGTTAAGAATCGTGAATATCGGTTCAGATTTACATATAGCTCCCATATATATTTTCATCCGATTTAAGGTAAATGGTGCACCAAAGTACCTATATAACTTTCGATTTCCACGAAATTTGGCACAACGTACTGGATTAAGGCTAGAATGCGTGTGCTAAGTTTCGTGAAAATCGGTTCAGATTTAGATATACCTCCCATATATATTTTCGTCCGATTTAAGTTAAATGGTGCACCAAAGTCCCTACATATCTTTCGATTTGCACGAAATTTGGCTCAGCTTACGGAATTAAGCCTGGAATGATGTGTGCCAAGTTTCGCGAAAATCGGTCCATATTTAGATATAGCTCCCATATACATGTTCAACCGATATAATGTAAATGGTTCACCAAAGTCCCTATATATGCTTCGATTTGCACGAAATTTGGCACAACGTACTGAATTAAGCCCAGAATGCTGTGTGCTAAGTTTCCTGAAAATCGGTTCAGATTTAGAGATAGCTCCCATATATATTTTCATCCGATTTAAGGTAAATGGTGCACCAAAGTGCCTAAATATCTTTCGATTTGCTCGATATTTAGCACGGCGTACTAAATTCAGCCTGGAATGATGTGTGTTAAGTTTCCTGAAAATCGGTTCAGATTTAGATATAGCTCCCATATATATTTTCGTCCAATTTAAGGTAAATGGTGCACCAAATCCCTAACAACCCTCCGATTTGCACGAAATTTGGCATAGCGTGCTCAATTGAGCCTAGAATGATGTGTGGAAATCGGTTCAGATTTAGTTAGAGCTCCCCTATAAATTTTCGTCCGATTTAAGGTAAATGGTGCACCAAATCCCTAACAACCCTCCGATTTGCACGAAATTTGGCATGGCGTGCTGAATTAAGTCTAGACCGATGTGTGCCAAGTTTCGTGAAAATCGGTTCAGATTTAGATATTACTCCCATATATATTTTCGTCCGATTTTATGTAAATTTTGCTCCAAAGACCCTTTATATTCTTCGATTTGTACGAAATTTGGCATATCGTACTGAATTGAGTCTAGAATGCTGTGTGGTACGTTTCGGGAAAAACGATTCAGATTTCGATTGAGACTTGAATGACATTATTGCGTTTTGTTGAAATTGGTGCAGATCCAGCCATAGCTTCCATATGTATTTCGAACGGGTGTCTGATTGAAAATAATTTTTAACAGTACCGAATAGATTGCATCAATTTTGGTATAAATCGTATTCCATAAATTTGTCCCAGGCTATTCTAAACAAGCCCGAATGAAATTAAATTTAGCATAGGTTGCAGAAAGGCATGATTATGTTCCTTCGAGGGAACACTGACATGCAATTGTAAGGATAAATATGTACAATATACCCAAAGTAGTGAGGGGTATCATATAGTCGGCCTAGTCCGATTTTACTATTTTTCTTACTGGTTATAAATATTTTTTTCAGGGAACTCCACAAGACATCGATTATTATATTTTAATTTTGGAACAAGTCTGGTTTAGGGCCCCCTCGCGGATCTTTTTGAAACTTTTACCACATATAGTCCTTGGGGCCCTGATTACTATGGTATCCTTTTTTTCTTGCGGAAATCGGTATTTCCGGAGATATGGACCTCCAAAGTTCCGTTGGGGCCACTATTTTTTCTCACGGTTTTTAACATTTACTGAGACAATGTGGGTATTAATTTAAAGCATTTAATTACAAAAATTTAATATTCTTATGAAATAAGTTCACTCATTCTGAGATATGGGTCTCCAAAATTCCACGGGACCCTTCTTTAATTTTGAAACCCAGTATGGGTGTTTGTGGGTAAATGGCTTTCGACCGGGGATTTAAGACTTTCCCCTATGGACAAACGTTAACTACGGCTACGCGACCGAATCTCCTTCTAGTTAGAACAGTGTTTGCGGGTAGCCGCCCCTCGGCCGGGGTTTTAAGACATTCTCTTATGGACTGGTGGCAGCTCCGGCTACGCGATCGCATCTCCTTTTAATTTGAATATTATTATTGTAATCAGTACGTCAAACGCTTTTAATTGATACCCATATTGCCTCAGTAAATGTTAAAAACCGTGAGAAAATATAAGGGTACCAACGGAACTTTGTAGGCCCATATGTCCGATTTCCAAAAAAAAAAAAAACAAAGGACACCGTTGTAATCAGGACCCCAAGGACTACATGTGGTAAAAATTTCAATACCATCCTTAAGTTTTTTAATAAATATTTTTTAAGTTCATTCACGTTCATAGAAATGTATCTTGTTTATTTGTCGTTTGCCATGATCGATTTATTTTTTCTGAAGTACCCTGCCTACCACATAGATTACGGTCTAATCAAGTGATTTCCCATTATTGTTGGTCTTAAGCAAATTCTCATTAGTTATGGGTGTTATCTAAAAACAATCAAGGTTTCCTAGGTAAAAATGCGTACCGATTATTTTTATAATTTTTTTATTATTGGCAAAATAACTATTTTCAGATAAAGCATAATATTATTACCACCACCACCTTGTTTGACGATTAATGTATTGCCACTGAGTATGAAACACCTGTCAGGGCATGAAGGTTGCTAGTTTATTAAATATCACTGAGGGTGGTCAATGATTCTAGAAATATATACTGATAAAAATTATAATAAAAACAACAATATTCAGATAGGCCTACCATGCTAACGAAAACAGACCACTTGAAAAATCAGACATCTATTCTAAGGGTTTAGAATACTATTAATCTGGTAATGATAAATATTCCAATGGAAGAAGGAAATACGACGGTACGGCAAACTATATTCCTGGAATATATATTTCGTAGGGATAAAAACAAAAACAGTAAGAAAAGTAGTAAAGTCGGACTGGGTCGACTATATGATACCCTTCACCACTATGGGTATATTAAACAGCATTATTAACATGAAATTGGATGAAATAAAATATGTGATATTTATCTAAATGTGAATCGGACTAGATCTATCCATAAACATGTCATTCGTTTGGGACAAAAGTATGAAAATCGACTTCAAACAAATATCAATAGGTCATCCGTTGGGCTATGTCTGTACTTCTAGAAAACGTAACTACGTTATTCTAGGCTCAATTTTGTACGTTGTGCAAAATGTTATGTCAATCTGACAAACATGAGGAGTTTGATGTACAATTTACTTAAAATCGGACGAAAGTATATATAGAAGCTATACCCAAATATGAAACGATTTCAACGAAACTTGTCACAGGTTAAGTTATACTAATTTCGGTACGTTTAGTTCCTATCAGCCATATATTGGTTTCTTGGTGCGTCAATTACTTCATATCAGCTATATCTAAATCCCAACCGAATTTTACGAAACTTGGCCCACAAAATTCTGGACTAAATTCCGTGCGATAGGCAACATAAGAACTTTGGCACAATATTTAAATTAAATCGGACAAAATATATATATATAGATCTGAACCGATTTTAACGAAACTTGGCAGACATCGCTCTACTCTCAATTCAATAGATATATATGGACTTTGGTGCACCATTTACATGAAATCGGACGAATCTATATATGGGAGCTATATCTAAATCTGAACCGATTTTCACGAAATTTGGCAGATATCATTCTAGACTTAATTCAGTACGCTGTGCCAAATTTCATGCAAATCGAAAGATATAGAGGGACTTTGGTGCCCCATTTACCTTAAATCGGACGAAACTATATATGGGAGCTATATCTAAATCTGAACCGATTTTCTCGAAACTTGGCACACATCATTCTGGACCTAATTCAGTACTCTGTACCAAATTTCGAAATCGAAGGATATAGAGGGAATTTGGTGCCCCATTTACCTTAAATCGGACGAAACTATATATGGGAGCTATATCTAAATCTGAACCGATTTTCTCGAAATTTGGCACGCATCATTCTGGACCTAATTCAGTACGCTGTGCCAAATTTCATGGAAATCGAAAGATATGGAGGGACTTTGGTGCCCCATTTACCTTAAATCGGGCGAAAATATATATGGGAGCTATATCTAAATCTGAACCGATTTTCCAATTTCAATAGGGGTTCGTCCATGGGCCAAATAAGTGACTTGTGCCAAATTTCACCCAAATCGGATTATAAATGCGACCTGTCCTTTGTTTACAATTTAACATCTACAGACGGACAGACGGACGGACATGCGTAAATCGACTCAGAAAGTGATTCTATGCATATTCTCAAAAGGAACCATGTGTCTACCGCGTTTCCTTTTGCCTGTTACAAACATATGCACAAAGACATAATACCCTGTACCACAGTGTGGCGAAGGGTATAAAAACACACATTAAGAAAAG